TTAATCTTTGGTTATACTTTCCTTTTGGGTGTTTAAGGCCATACAGTTGTCCCAGACAAACCAATTTACTTTTACTCTTAAGGATGTTTGAGGACCTGTTCCTCAGGGGTCACATGGGCTTGGGAGGAGCCCCTGGCTCCTTTCTTTTACCAGTTCCATCTATGTGAAGGTAAGTCAAAGGTCCTGCTCAACCATGGCTGGCTTAACTTGGAAGCATGGAGGAAATGTTTCCTCTGTGTTGACCCTCCTCTTTGTAGACTGGACACTGGTTCAGGTCTATTTGGTGGGGTTTTCATGGCCTCCTGATCAAGAGGACAGGTGACTCAACACAGTTACAGGACATTTGAGAGATGTTCCATAGTCCCCTGTAACTTAGTTGATGTTGGAGGGCAAGAAGCAAAAACTGTCCTTTAAATCCCTCTAGCCAGATTAGTATAGGCTTCAAAGTATGACTGATAAACATCCAATAAGGTTAGTTCCACCAGTCTGGTACCTTTAATTACCATGTGACATGTAGATAAAGCTTGGGCAAAGACCAAAACCTTGCACAGACATATATTATATTCCTTGAGCAAGTTGTATGTGTAATTTGTCAGTAGTCTGTTCAATTAATATGGTTCCCTCTGTTTTTTTTTTAACTAGCTAGGCATTATTTATTTCTCACATTGTCTAACCCTTCCACCATGGTTTCCCCATTTAAAGTGCCCCCATTTTTCCCATTTCTCCCTTATTAATACCCTTCTCCTACGGTCCCGCCTCTCTTGAGCTCCTTCTTTCCCTTTATTCCCAAGGTTCCTTGTATAACCTTCCCTCCCCTCTCCCCTTAAAATAATCCCATTTTTACTCATTTCTCCCTTAGTAACACATTTCCTACTATTCTTCTCTCCCAGGTTCTTTGTCTCTCTTTACCTCCCTGGTGCCTTTTCATTATTTGGTTCCTGTAGTTATGTCTGGATACATACTCACTTATAAGGATTTCATGCCAGAATCCACATATGAGGGAGCACATGCGTTGTCTGTTTTTCTGAGTCTGTGTTACTTGACTTAGTATTAACAGTTTCTAGTTCCATCCATTTACCTGCAAATTTCACGATTTCATCTTTCTTTACTGCTGAGTATAGAAAAATTATATCGTAAAAATGAACCACATTTTCATTATCCACTCGTCAATTGAGGGACGCTTAGGTTGCTTCCATGTCTTAGCTATTGTGAAAAGAGTAGCAACAAACATGGATGTACAAGTGTCTCTGCAATAGGATGAGTTCCCAAGGAGTGGTATAACTGGGTCAAATGGTAGGTTCATTTGTAGTTTTTTTGAGTTCTCCACACTGCTTTCCATAGGGGTTGAACAAGTTTGCAGCTCCACCAGCAGTGGATGAGTGTTCCCCTTTTCCCACGTCCTCTCCAACATTTGGTATCATTTGTTCTCTTAATCTTAGCCAGTCTGACTGGGGTAAGATGAAATCTTAAAGTGGTTTTAATTTGCATTTCCCTTATTACTAGTGACGTTGAACACCTTTTAAGATGCTTCTTAGCCATCTTTATTTCTTCTTTTCAGAACTCTCTGTTGAGCTCCCTTAGCCCATCTTTTAATT